CCCCGCACCCCTCACACAGGCGGGGCGGGGCGGGGCGGGGCGAGCCACCCCGTCCCCCACTACGGCCCGTCGCGTCGCGCCGCGCCCGGTAGGCCTATTCCTGTCCAGGCCGTGCCTGACCAGCTCAGTACAGACCTGTTCCGTTCCAGAAGAGCGGCTGCACATCTCCTCTCCGTATAGGCAGACGCGCCCAGGCTTGCCGAGCCCGCGACCAGATACAGGGTGGCCCGCGGACCCCTGAGCATTTTGTAGACGTGGTCCGCGCGAGTGGGCGTGTATTGCATACCCGTCCGAGTCCGTAGGTCGCCGCATTGGTTCAGGCAACCCCGGTGGTGTAGCACATCACCGACGGCACATTACAAACGCAAAACGTTACCCCCCACCTGCTACGCGTGATGAGGATGAAGCAGGTCCCACAAGTATCACGCACCTACTATACGCGAGCCTTGTTAGAGAGGGGTTCGAAATGTCATGGATCCCTCAATGTAGGTTTTAAAACCTCAGCACAAGAATAACTCGTGGGGTCGTCTTTTCTTAAGTTCGCACCTGCACCGTACGAGCAATGATATGTACTAGCGCACCGCGCCCCCTATGGGGCACCACGTAGTATGTGCACCGCGACAACGGCGGCTGCGGTCGCCTGCGGCAGCGGCTTGCCCTTTCACCTTTTCTCATCATCTCCTCTCCTCCCTTGCGTCTCGCTCGCTCCTCCCTGCGTCTCGCTCGCTCCTTCCTGCCTCGCTCCGTCCGCACAATGAGATGAAGCGGAATGAATGGCAAATGGTGGGAAGCAGCAGCAGATTGGGCCGGGCCTCCGCCGCCGCTGCTGCTGACGAACACGGAGAGGAGGAGGAAGGAGAGAATTAAAGCCGGGTAGCGCAAGTGAACGGAGTACGCTGGGTGGGAATGGGGGGGGGGAGGGGGCGAACGGCGGCCGCAAGAGCCCCGGCGCCGGCATCAGTGGCATCCCAGAAACCCAGAGTAAAAGGTAAAAGTTGCTGTGCGGCCGGGTCAGGGCAGGCCGACGCCGCCAGCGGCAGCCAGCGTGCGGGCCGCAGCAGCAGGAGCCCGCGAGTGCCACAGCAGCCTCTCCCCCTCCCCCTTCCGCCCCGCCACAGCGCGCCAGAATGTAATCTCAATCCTTCACTTTCGCCGAACATCATTTCTGAACGGACTGGTCTGGCGACCTGCGAGGCGGGGGACGGAGGAGAGGAGAGAGGAAACGGGGGAAAGGGGGGGGGGGGAGGCATAGGACCCACAGCAAGTCGGCCGTACTCGATTTCAAGGAGGTTACCGACCGGCGGCGCCTCGGGTATGTGGGCGGAGGCACACTTGTATACTGGTGCTGCACTGGAGGAGGGTGTGCGCAAGAGAAAGAGATGGTAGAGGTGGAGTACGTCTTCCTCCTTGCACTCCCCCCCCCCCCCC